ATTTATTGGCAGCTATTGTAATAAAATTGTATTGATTGTGGGTTTAATCTGGAATGATTCAAATGAAATATTCAATATGTCCTCCTTTGTCCTCCTTTTTGTCTTTCTATGTCCTCCTTTTAGTACCCGTTAGATGTGTTGCCTGCAGCCTTGTAGATGTGTTGGAGCACAGTGGGTTGAGGACAATGGGACCTGTACTCCAGCACATCTTGGAAGTGTCAGTTTTGGAATAAACAACAGTATATTCAAGAACCTTACATAACCTACTGCACAAAAATGTGTATTTCTGAGAAAGAAAACTTTTCAAACTCATTGGCTCTAAGCCCTTCCCCTTCAGCCTAAAGCCTTGTGCTGCTTGCAAAGTCTTCTTCCATGTGGAGTCAGCAAACGAAGTCCACATTTGTTCCTGCTGGGCCACCTCCATACATCAAGCCCCGTCCCTTTTGTCCAAGCCTCGCGGGTGCAGGGTGTGGGGGTGGTGAGGAAATGCTTTTCTGCAGCCAGGTTTCATGTCATTTTAGTACAGCTCCTCTCATGGCAGCAACAGTGATTTTTACAGAGGTTAACCAGTCCTTAGAATCCCTCACCACTGGCTATACCGGCAAATGCTGCTGAGAGGTTTAAGCACAAAGCATTTGGAGGGCCGCAGGTGCCGCTGGACTTGGCTAGAACACTGAATTTGGGAAATCCAGGTTCAAACTCCCATTGAACCATATCACTCTCAAGGGGGCAGCCCCTACCATTCCAACCTCACTTACCCCGTATCCCTTATTTTTTCAAAGCTTGCTGCTTATATACCGCCCCATAGCCCTATCACTCTCAAGGGGCCAGCCCCTACCATTCCAACATCACTTACCCTGTATCCCTTATTTTTCAAAGCTTGCTGCTTATACAGTATACTGCCCCACAGGGCATCAAGCACTCTCTGGGCAGTTTATAATTTAATTATGCAGGCTACACATTGCCACCTCTAGTCTTTACCAGTCTCAGAAGGATGGAAGGTTAAGTTAACTTTGATCCGGCTACCTGGGATTGAACTGAGTTGTGAGCAGAGTTTTGGCTGGTCAACAGAAGGTGGACACAGGTCCCTTCCCTTGTTGCTGGAAAATGGTCTTTCTGCTTCTTAGAGATGGGAAGGGGGCCTTAGTAGCAACATGGGACCTTGGAAGGCCCATATGAGGCCCCCTCACTCAGTAATATAGTCCAATCAGACATTGGGGGGGGGGAATGTTTTGCACTGAGCAGCTGAATGTTGCAATCCTTAATACGCTTCGTGCACTTTCATGCTAGTTTTGATTGTTTCACAAAATTGCTTGTGTAATTATTTTAAAGTTTGCCCGTCATTCCTGGACAGTATTGCTGAGAATCCCCAAATAGGCCCTTTGACTTTGAGGTGTGTGTGGGGGGGTGCGATGGTTGGCTAAATGATTGATGGGGGTGGCTGGAGGCATGAATGGTGAAGAGACCAGAGAAAACAGCCCCACCCGGGAAGGACTTTCTGGGAACATGAATCAAGAGCGACCTTATTCTGATTAGACAGAAAAGGGTTGTCCTTTGCCACGAGTGGGAATTGGAATCACTCTATAAAATATATCAGCAATTAACGGCAAGCCAGACCCATCACATAAAGAAATATTGGGAGCTGCAAACGTTTCAGGCTCTTTTTGTAGCTGTGAATAGATTCCAAACAAATTTGCTGCCTGGATAATTACATTTCACTTTAGTCTTCCAATCCCCAGACAGTGTCAGGGGATTCCAAAATTCAATTTATCCTGCTTTCGTAGCATTGCTTCCACACAGGGTGAGAACACACTGGAGAACAATATAGTACTCCAGGATATGACATCCTTTGAATCTTAAGCTTCCATTCAATTTCTAGCCCTCAAGATTTCAGGACAGGGTTTTTATAATGTATGGACAGTACTCACTGGAGGATTACACTGTGCAGGCTTCCAATAGCTGTGTGATGTTACTTGTGTGGGACAAAGGAATATATTTGCATATACAGCATGAAAGTACAAAGTTGTGATCAACTGCATGTTAAAATTTGATAGGATATCTTAAGTTACTGATACTTCTAAAGATTTTGATCCTCCTTTATCTGGATCTCATCCAGCTTTCTGTAAAATATGTTCTGCATAGAGATTGAAAAGAGAAGGAAATAAAATAATGGTCAGCTAAATGTTTCTACATATTCTATCCTAACAGTACCTTCTTGTCCTGAGTATATGGTACACATCAGGACTATCTAACATTATGGGACACTCCTTTCTTTTAGAACAATCTATAGGTTTTCATAGTCCACTTAGTTAAAGACTGTGCTATGAACTATAAAGCACAAACTGATTTTCCTTCAGAAATTCTTTCTGAATAGTAGCCAAACTATTTTTGCAGTATGGTCTCTAATGCCTCTTCATTTTTTGAATTTCTGTTGAACATTTGCCATTTCTCCTATTGGGTATAATTTTCTGTTTTAACATCTTGATCACCATTTTGCTTGTGTGGGAAATCAATGTAGTAGTTATTTAGGTACCCAACTCTTTGGCATCTCCTTTGCTTGCAATTAGAATGTGTATTGAAGATTTTCAGCCTGTTTACTACAATTATTGACATATGTTTGTTAGGATTTAATAGATTCAGCCTCTCTAGCTTGAAATATCTTTGTTAGTATCCCATATACTGTAATCTTAGTAATTTATTCCATTCTGTGGCTTTGAGAAGAACTTTTACTTTGTTTTCTAGAATACCCAGTTCTTCTTCTAAAGATTTTTATTTATTTATTTAATGAAATCTATTATCCTTCCTCCATTACATTCTACGTTGGGGTGGGTAATCTCGAGGTCTGCAGGTCTACATACACCCATCTCTGGACTTTGGTCGGTTGCATCCATTCCCATTAACCATACCCTCCAAAATACTTTCTTTACAAAAATGGAGGGAGGGGGTTTAACTGAAAAAGCCTCATCTGCCTCAACTGGCCAAATTGTTTTTTAAAAATTAAATGAAGGGGGAGGGCAAATTCTGAGAGCTACTTAGAACATGGCAAAATTCCCTTCGCCATGACCTTAAGGGCACAGTGAGACTTCTGTCCACCCACCCACCCTGTTGGCCTAAAGGACACAGTAGACTTCTGGCCTTAATCATAATGTTTAAAAATTAACAATTTTGGGTGGGTGTTTGGGAGGATACATGTTGCCCACCTCGATTCTGAAACCTAAGAGGATCAAATTGTTAATTGAAATCATAGAACTGTGAAACATAAGGGTAATCTGCTCTCAACGATTTGCAATGAGGCAGTTTTTCTCAACTCCTGCTGGCAGGTTTGCAAATGTCATCTTAAGCAGAGGGGGTGTAGTACCCATTGTTAAAACTACCTAAAAGCCCAACAAGAGCAAATGAGTAATGTAAGCACCTCCCACAACATTTTCTACTCCCAGATATCCTAAATGTGGGGAAGTACTTTATACTGGGATTCTACTGCTCTATACAGAAGCTAATGTTTATTTCATTTGTTCTTTTTTTCAGGTTCTTTATGATCAAGGAGAGTTTCCTGCTGTACTATGCTGAAAATGAAAAGAAGAACTTTGAAAACAATCGGTACTTTAATATCCACCCTAAGGCAAGTACTGGGCCAGCCCCTCTGTTAGGCATAGTGGGAAATGTGCCTCAAGTAGCAAATGCTGGGTGTTATAAGTGAGACTATAGTGGCAGGATTTCATCTGGTCTCTGCTGAAGACCTGCCCTAAACTCCTTAATCTGATTTGCTACCCTCAGGTGGGGTGGAATATACTGTTCCCAGAATTTGGAAATGTTACTTTTTTTGATTATAGATTCTGGGACAGATAGTGCAAAAAAGTCATATTTCTATGTTATGGCTGTTCTGTTATAAGCTGTCAGTTCTGTGGCACTTCTAGGGCCTTTGGAATTGTGTCCAGAAAAGGACAGAGAACTGAGACAAGACAGCTATTTGATGAATGGCAAGATATGTTCAGTATAACTAGTCAAATCCGGTGACTTAGCTGCTCATTTCTGTACTAACTGATGTTATGCAGACGTGTTCAGAGGTAGACCCACAAAAGATGCATTGCAGTAGTCTAGCCTAGAGGCTACCGAGGCATGGATAATAATGGTCAAACTACTGTATCTCTCTCCGAAGAGATTGTTGTTGGTATACTAGTCTGATTTAGACACTCTATCCATAAAGAATCTTATCTCGGTCATCTTGGTTTCTCTAGTCAATTCAGTCTATTGGTCACTGAGACCAAGTATCCCAGAACATAACATTGATATAAGTAGCATTGTTTGATCTCTCTCTTTTTAAAAGTACTTCACATGTATTATCAGTGAAGCCTCCCTATGAGTTAGATTCATATTGGCCAAAATCTTGTTGCTTAAGGTAGCAATTTGCACTAGAGTAGGCTGATTGAATCAATGGGGATATGGTGAGTCAACTCCTCTGCATGTTCCACTAATTCAAATAGGCTAGCTCTGTGACTCATTTTAGCATAGTAAGTTGCAACTAGCATAAGACCCATTTGAATGTGTTAACTTATGGAGGAGTTGATTCACCAAATGTATTCTCGAACAACCATGATTCACCAAATCACTATTGATTCAATCAGCCTACTCTGATGCAATTGACTACCGTAAGCATCAGGATTTTGGCAACTGTTACATTCATGTGGCAGCGAGGGCTTGGAAAAGATACTCTTTTTCTACTATAACTCCCAGAATCCAGTAGCCATGCTGGTTCAAAACTGAATCTTCTCAATTCTGATTGCAATACCTATGGCCAAAGTTGGACTTGAACCTGAAGCTTTCTGACTCGTCAGTTCTGCAATGAAGCAGAAAACTGCCATGACAGATGGCTATATACTAAGGCTGATCTAACTGTTTCACAGGATGATTTGCCTGTAGAGACCTCATTCTCACTTCAGTCCTCTCTAGTTAGAGGTTGGGCATCACTACTGCACTGCATCCAAACTAAGCTCCTACTTTTCAGCCAGGAAGTTCGCCCCCTTCCTATGTACTTCCACACATTTATTTTGAATGTTCACTATAGCAGTCTATACTTTTTGCTTCTACTCATTTCCAACTAATTTAAATCTTTGATGTCCTCAGGGTGTCATACCTCTTGGCGGCTGCATCGTAGAAGCCAGGGAAGAACCCAACATGCCTTATGCAATGAAGATCTCCCATGAGGATTTCCATGTAAAGAGATAATTTTTTCTTAAGAATATAGCACTCCCCCCCCCCGAGAGGCAGCAACTTGCTGACTGAACAAGAAAGAAAATCCATTTTTCTAAGATGAATACACAGCTTAGAGATATATATGGAATAATAATGTCAGGTTCATTTTTTTTTGTCTCTCCCAGAATATTTCAGCTTATTCACTGACAGATTTGTCCACCCACAGTTGGGTTTTCTGGAGCTGTGACTCCTAAGAAGGGAGTGTATGAGATGCCCAAGAATCTTAGGATATTTCTAGATTACTAATTTTAAATGAATTTTATGAGATTATCAACTTAAAAGGAGTTTAATTTAGTCTCCCCAAGGACCACTGAAAATCATCATTCTATGAGAGCTTCTTGGAGTCTCTCATAATAATTACTGTTATGTGCCAACTCTGACATGGCAGCACTTTTCAGGGTTTCCTAGGTTCAGAGTATCCTCTGAACGACGATTCCCAAAGTTCGTTTGGGAAAGCCATGCTAGTTAAACCATGCTAGCAACCAGTGTAGTGTATACAGATAAAGTCCCAGGCACCCTTATTTCCCTACAAAAGTAGTAGCCGTTTTTTACTTTCTCTTGAAAGGGCATAACGTCTTCAAGATTATCTTAATGACCAATCTAACATTTCTTTCATAAGGGTAACATCATCCTAGCAGCAGAATCAGAGTATGAACAAGCCCAGTGGCTGGAGATGCTGAAGGAATCTGGGAAAGTGTAAGTATGTGAACAGTGAGCAATGACTAAAAGTGTGACTATAACGTTGAATTAAGTCAGGAGCTGGTTTGGGATTCTAGACATTGATCCAATGTCTTGTGGTTTTTATGTCAGTGTGTGCATCCCCAAGGAACAACTTTTAGTGTGGCTTTAAGCTGTGTATTGACATTCCGTGCTCTGGTTTTCCCAGATTTTCCTCTGCACTGGGAACAATTCTGTACCTCAGCCATACCTCGTTCTTTTGTTGAGGTGCAACTTGCGTGCCTTGAGACAGCTGACATTAGACTCAGCAGCTTTTATATAGCAGAGCCAGCATCACCCCCCCCACACACAACAGAGCCCACAACTAATGTAATAGTAATTCCCTCTGTCTTTTAAGAATCATCATGTCTGGTCTAAATTGTGCTGTTCCCGTCTCCCTTCACCAGAGAACCAGCTTTTTCCAGCTCTTGAGTGTGCAGGAGAGGCAAGGGAGCGACACCAAGGGGGCTCTCCCAAAACAGATGGGGAACTTTCTTTGCCCTTTGCAAATCAGTTAAGCTGCTTAAATTTGGCTCTTTGCTTCCTAGCCGCAGTTTATAGAAATTTCTGAAGATGTAATTCCATCAAGGCTTACTGTGGGACAATTAAAAAGAGGTTGCTCATCCAAAAGGATTTATTCTATATTATCATTCCATGTGCACTTATGCTAGGGAAGAAATGCTGCACTTGAGTGGAGATATGAGGATGATGTACTTATTAACTCTTCATCAGAGGCAATTAAGCACAGGACACAGCTTCATACATATTGAGGTGCCTAAACACACTTTTTGGGCCTTTGGGCCCATTGAACTCAATGGGGATAGATTTTGTAGTGAAATACATTGGGATGCACTGCCAACAGTGACAGACATGCAATCCTGGCTGTTCTCTATTGTCTTCAGGGTGGGGATGGGGATTTGGTGGGGGGAGCAGTAACGAACTATATACTTTTCAATGCCTTGGATGTGCAAACCAGCCTTCCCCAGCCTGGTGCATTGCAATTCTGTTGGACTACAACTCCCACACATGCCCCAGCCAGCACATGTACTGCCATTAGTCCTACCTAACATTGCTATTGGAGATGGATTCTACGGGCTGCTGTCTGACAGCATCTGTAAGCTTGTGTTTTCAACATGCTTACAAGTGAATCACACTGGCTCAATTTGGCATGTGTTTGAAGCAGAGATGAGAAACATTTGTTTCCTGCACGCCACACATATTGGGTGGGCATGATAGGAGAGCTGGAGAAGGCTGGTATTAAAAAATAAAAACAGAGGCTTAAGTGAACTGGAAGAAAAAGGGAAGCATCTGGTTAGATGAAGGGCTCTGGATTCACTTCCCTCCTTCACTTTCAAATAAGTGATAATGTAATTGATAAAGGAAGGTTGTCTTAAGAGTTGGTGATCCCATTGATATCACAGTGCCTTAGAGATTTCGCAGAATAGTCCACAAGTGGGCATTGTTGAAACCCCTCGGCCTCCCGTATTGATGGAAAGCTTGCAAGATGCCAAGCACCAAAGCAGACATGTACTTCTGCCCTTGAGTGCAGTTCTCCACCACCACCAATCACAAGTGGCTGGGATTGTGGGGTGGCGAGGATCCAGATCACTGCCCTGGGTTATTCGTTTGTGAGAAAGGGGGGGAAATAAACTCAAGGGGAGCACTTGGTAATTAAAACATACCTAGTTTGGTCCTGAACTTTGCTAATTGTCTCTACTGTCACAGGACCTCCTAGGCCCTTCAGCGTTCCCAGCCTGGTCTTTTGATGGGCTTCCAGCACTTTAGAATTTTTGGGCTTCAGCTGCCAGAAGCCCCAGCCAGCATGGCCAGTGGATGAGGCATAGTGGGAATGGTATTCTGTAAGGTCTAGAAAGATTGCTCAACCTTCCTAGAAACCCTTGGGAGGATGTCAGAGAACCAGTCCTGCCCATTCTCTCTCTGATCTGTGCCTGCCGTAGTTCAACCCATGTCAACAGTCTTTGGCCACTAGTCCTTCCTTACTTGCTTCTACCTCTCTGTTTCTGTCACAACTCCTTTACGGCATTTGCCCCCCATATATGGAATGTGAAGGATGTCATCAAGCCAACCTGGATTGCTAGCTTCAGGCTAGTGCTAGGTGGACACCTGCATCTCAGCCCACCTTCCACTCCTGGGCCAGGCGTGACGGCATGGATCTGCATCACTGCTTGCTCCGAGGCCTTTTCTTCTGCCACTTAAACCCCTGAAGAACACCTTTGCTGCCCAGAGGAGTTTAAAATAGCTCTGAAAAATTGCTCCGGCAGTGATGCGGTTGCTTGGTTAGGCGAGAAGCCGAAAGGGCATGCCTGTGAAGGTCAGTACACACGTTGAAAAATGTAGCTTCAGCAATGGCAAGGCAGAAGCTAACACACTGGCTGTCTGCAGCAGAAATGTCTGGCAAGCGTGTCTCTGTAGCCCTCTTGACCAAAGGCAACTAGGAAAAGGGAGGAGGGTGGTGCTAAAACAAAGGCTGCAGCTGTGGGGAAAGGCGCTGTGTTACAAGATGCAAAACGTGTCACATCTGCCTTTACAGCAGGCCCTGGAAAATTTGTGTTTTTGTCATAAAAGTAACTTTGCAAGGGCTGGTCTACAAGCAGAGTGGATTCTATAGCCAAAAGATGATGAGTTGGTTCTAAATTTTGGGTAGCTTCCTGGTCCACCTGCACTTTGGGATTCACAACCCTACTTAAAAAACTCATAAAAAGCAGAAGTATAAAAATTATTTCCAGCTACATGTAATAATAATTGAGTGCCATCAAGTTGATTCTGACTCATGGCAACCCTTCTCAGGGATTTCTAGGTATAAAGTACTCAGGAGTGATTTACTATTCCTTTATTCGGGGAATATATACAATGGCAAAAAGAGAGGACAACAAAGGTTTGTAATTTGCTCACAATTTGTGTATGTTAATCTTGTCTGTAGATTCACATGTAGAAACAATTCTACAGACAATGACTGAAATCCTGTTGCACAGCTCTGCAGTATGATGATGTCATCAGCAGCAGCAAATTGCTGCTGATTAAAGACTTCCTTTAGCAATTGTAGGGTGCACATAACCTCATCACACTGTACATGTTGCATAAACCCTGAAATCCTGCTTAATCAGTGGTGATTTGCTACTGACGGTGCAGAATTTTAACCATTATTAAATATATCTCGGCTTAGAGTGATTGACAAGATGCCCCAGGATCAGCTGAACTGCTATATGTAAAGGTAAAGGTTCCCCTTGACAATTTTTGTCCAGTTGTGTTCGACTCTAGGGGGCAGTGCTCATCCCTGTTTCCAAGGCATAGAGCCAGCGTTTTGTCCGAAGACAATCTTCCGTGGTCACATGGCCAGTACGACTTAGACACAGAACGCTGTTAACTTCCCACCGAGGTGGTCCCTATTGATCTACTTGCATTTCCATGCTTTCAAACCGCTAGGTTGGCGGGAGCTGGGACAAGTGACAGGTGCTCACTCCGTCACGTGGATTCAAACTTACAGCCGAAGATCTACAGATCTTGCAGCACAGAGGCGTCTGTGGTTTAACCCTCAGAGCCACCACATCCCTGCAGCGCCACCCCCCCCTCCCTGAGCTGCTATAGTTATCATATAATTGCAGGAAGAAAACATGTCAATGTTTCAGTCCCTGAGCAATCAGAATGAAAACTCAGCTGGTATTAAATCCTGGTGACCCATCATAAAACAAACCTGCTAATTGGAGATGGCTGTGGCTCTGGCTGTCCCTTCTTCACCATTAAAGGAGATCTGGCCTATTTGGCAGCCCTCCAGATAGAAGACATTTTGAACTGGAGGACGATCCATACAGCTCGTTTGTGTTTGGCTAAGAGGTTTTACAGGCAAGAGGACATAACCTTGATTGTAGGGAATGATACTTTTGGGACACCACCTCCCACATTTCTTAGTCATGCTTGCTGGGAGATTGTGGAAATTGTAGTCTAGAAAAGTAATTTTTCCACACTCTTGCCTAAGATTCATGATTTTGTGTACAAGGCTAGGGGCGGAGTTGCAAGAAGCAGAAGGCAGAGGGTGACACTGAGACCTGAAGGCAAAAATTGAAGGGGCACTTCAGTTACTTGGGCACCATGTTTCTACTGCCCCTTTATTATTTGGAGAGCAATGGTCTCCTTGTTCCAGTATAGTGCTTGTAATTTATTTTCATTCCACCCTACCTTATATTTCTAGTTAATAATAGAGGAACAGGCAGAATTGCCAACATTTATTGTTTTATGAGAAGCATAATTTTTCTCTTTCTTTTAAAAAATAATTTTAAAAAGTGTTCCCCCAACACCACCACAACTTTCACAACTACAGAGAGAGGGAAGTGTATAACACCCAACATAGTAGAAATGGTGAATTTGGAAGTGCAGGTGCCCATCATGACAATCCCTATAAACCAGTGGTTTCCAACCTTGGGTTCTGTGATATTCTTGGACTACAACTCCCAGAAATATTGGCCAGCACAGCTAGTGGTGAAGGCTTCTGGGAGTTTTAGTCCAAGAACATCTGGGGACCCAAGGTTGGGAGCCACTGCTATAAATACTGCCTGTAAGGAAAGTCTGAAGACAGTGGATCAGTGCATGTCAACAAATGAGGAGCAACTCTTCTGAAATGTTAATGTCTCTTTATTGTCCATTAAAGACCAAACCAACTTCCAATATTTTATATTACAGCAGAGACAGCTTGCAACAATATGCTACTCCTAGGAAACTCTTTTTCTTTACCAGCCATTATGAGGATTGCAGCTAAGCTCAGAGCAGTGGTGTCGAAATGTGGCCCTCCAGATGTTCTTGGACTTCAACTCCCAGAAGCCTTCACCACCACCTCTGCTGGGCAGGAGTCATGGGAGATGAA